CTACCACTACTGCGACTATTACAAGTTTTATCACTACCACGGCTCCCACTACTACTGCTATTACTACTATTACTACTACTACTACTACTACTACTACCACTACTACTACTACTACTATTACGACTATTATTAATGCGATTATAATTGCGGCCGCTGCTACTGTCACTACTTCGGCTGCCAGTATTGCTAGTACTACTGCTGCTGCTGCTATTTTTACTACTGCCACTACTACTTCTACTACTACTACTGGTACTACTACTACTACGACTACTACCATTACGACCGATAACATGATTATTATTACTACTACTACCACCACTACTACTACTACTACTACTACTACTACTACTGCTACTGCTACTGCTACTGCTACTGCTACTACTACTACTACTACTACTACTACTACTACTACCACCATTATTGTGACGACGACTACGGGTACAACGACGATTCCGACCACGCCGCCTATGATCTCGAGGTTACCATTACGATCGCTACCACCACGTCTGTTCATATGGTTACGATTGCGGTTACGGCTGCGACTTTCTACTTTTTCTAGGACTTCTACAAGTACGACCACTGCTGCAAGCACGAAAGCGTATTATTAACATGATCGCTAGTACGATTGCGAGCACGAGTACGATTGCTATTATTATTGCCACTACGGCTTCTACATCACGATTAATATCGCGACCCTGATCATGCCTATGACCACTCTTAGTACAATTGCCACCACTATTGTTTATAATAGTACAGTTTTCAGTCATACAACTTTTTTTGCTGTTGTTACGTTAGTATCATTTCACGATTACTATTGCTATTTGTACGTCTACTACACCTAATCTCCCCACCATTACTACTACTACTACTAGTACTGCTGCTACTACTACTACTACCACCACCACTACTACCACTACTACTACGATCCGTGCTACCGCTGAGATTACTACTGCTATTCTTGACTGCGGGTACTACAACCACGACTATGTGATTACCGTTGCTGCGATCACCACCGCCACTACGACCACGACCGCGACTTCTGCCACCAGAAATACCAGGACGATGACGGCCACTACTACTGCAACCACTACGACGATTACTGCTGCTACTACTACGGCGATTTTTATTATTACGATTATTATTATTCTTATTCATACTACCACTACTACTACTACTACCACCACTACTACTACTACTACTACTACTACTACTGCCACTACGACTATTACTGCTACTACTGCGACTAGTACTACGACTACTACTACTACTACCACTGCGACTACGACTCTGGGTATCACTACGACTACTACCACTATTGTCACAACTACCACAACTACCATTTTTTACGACTACCACGGCCACGCCTCCAATCACTACTACTACTACTACTACTACTGCTAGTACGGTCAATGCTTCTGTTCTTATTTCTGCCGATACTTCTCGTCTTATTATATTACGACCACTACGACGACTACTACTACTAGTACTACTACTACTACTACTACTACTACTACTACTACTACTACTACTACTTCTACTACTACTACTACTACTACTACTACTACTTCTATTACTACTACTACTACTACTACTACTACTACTACTACTACTAGTACTACTACGACTACCACTACCACTACCACTACCACTACTACTACTACTACTACTACTACTACTACTACTACTACTACTACTAGTACTACTACCACTACTATTACTACTACTGCTAGTACGACCCCTACTACTACTACTACTAATACTACTACTACAAAAACTACTACTACCACTACTACTACTACTACTACTACAACTACTACTACTACTACTACTACTACTACTACTACCTGTACCACCAGTACTTCTACTATTATCACTACTACTACCACTTGTACGGCTACTACTGCTACTATCACCGTCATGAGTACTAGTTTGCCGATTACCATGACGACTACTACGTCGGCTACTCTACTGCTACTACTACTACTACTACTACTACTACTACGACTACGACTACTACTACTACTACGACTACTACGACTACTACTACTACTACTACTACTACTACTACTACGACTACTACGACTACCACTACGACGACGATTACGCTTACTACTACTACTATTAGTATTATTATTATTACTACTACTACTACGACTACTACTACTACTACTACCACTACCACTACTCGGATCACACCTCACCTTCGTGGCACCTCATAATGAATGGGTAGGGTAGGGGGTCGGCCCGGCTTCGGGTTCGGTTTCTCGCAGACAGTAGAACTGGCATACGCTACAAGCGCAATACGAATACATCAGAATTCGAACACGATGCGAATACAGCAAAAACCGAAGACAATACGAACACATTAGGGTTTGAGACCAATACGAATACATTAGAATGTGGATGGGACACGGAAGCAGTATAATTCGAATTTAACATGAATACAGGAGAAAACTAATCCACATCGAATACGATGAAATCCGATTACAATAAGAATACCATAGAGTTCTTGGACGACACGGACGTGAGGTGTGAAGGTGCCAACCTAGTTTATGGTTTCAATAAAACGGCTACACGCACAGTACAGAAGTAAACTACACGATGGTGGGGTGTGCAACAGGACGGCCGCCTAGGGAATCCTAAGGGTTCCTACGGATTCTACCAATTGCGAAACTACTGACAGTGTCTCCTGAGGAGCCCCAGGAATTTCTAAGGACCCCACCAGTACCCAGATTCCTTGGAAGGCCTCCTAAGGAAGCTGGGGAATTCTGGACCCATCCAATTGCCAGACTGAGAGGGCGGCCTTTTCGGGGAACCTTCGGACTTCAAAAAGATCAGACAGATTCCGACATTCCAAGGAGGGCCTCCTAGGGAATCGCATGGATTCCTTCGGATCCCACAACTTCCCAGATTCTTACCACTTGCCAGATTCTTGATTGAGAGGGCCTCTTAGGGATCCTTCGGATTCCTTCTAGACCTGCAGCACCCCTGAGTATCTTCCAGCATCCATCTAAACCCGCAATGGCCCACCGGAGTGCCTCAGGATCCTTCAGACTCTTGAGGAATCCTGTGAGTGCCGTAAGGGCGTCGGCCAGAGTTTTGGCCGTCTTGGTGGGCAATGGGAAAAAAGTTACCCCAAGAACCCTTTGCAATTCGATTGGAATCATGTTATAAATGCTGCGACGCAGAGATGAAGTGTGAAATTGTCATTGTGTTGTCCTCCTCATTAAAAGCTTAATGTTACTGCCGACAAGGTGGGGTGTGAAACTGGCGTTTTCCGTAATTGTCCCATATGGATCCAGCAACGTGGTTTTCCAATCTAGAGTGCCCGAAGGTGGTGCGTGGCCAGACAAGAGATGAATTGTGACCTTATTATTATTTTGCATTACGGCTACTACTACGACTACATCTACGACTACCACTGTTATTATTACTAAGGCCACTACTACAAGTCTTATTATTCTTACTACTGCGATCACTGCTGTTACTACTACTGCTACTGCTTCAACTACTCATACTGCTACTACCAGTTGTACGACTACCATTATTAGCATTACTAATACCACCACAACGGTTACGATTGCTATTTTTAGCGCTATCACTACCACCGCCACTACTACCACCACTACTACTACTACTACTACTACTACTACTGCTACTACTACTACTACTACTACTGCTACGACTATCACTACTACGACTACTACTACTACTACTATTACTACTACTACTACTACTACTACTACTACTACTACAACTACTACTACGACTACGACTACTACTACTGATACTGCGACTACGACTACGACTACGACTATTGGTAGTAACGACTAGTATTCTTACTAGTTTTACTACTACGACTATCGAAGCTACTACCACTACCACTACTACTACTACTACTACTACTACTACTACTACTACTACTACTACTTCTACTATTACGACGACTACTACTATTACCACTACTACTACTACTACTACCACTACTACTACTACTACTACTACTACTACTACTACTACTACTACTACTACTACGACTACTACTACTACTACTACTACCAGTATCACTACTACTACTACCACTACTACTACTACTACTACTACTACTACTACTACGACTACTACTACTACTACTACCACCACTACGATTACAACAACTACTACTACTACTACTACAACTACTACAACTACGACTGCTACTATTAATGCCACGCTCACTGCCACCACTACTACTACTAGTACTACTACTACTACTACTACTACTACTGCTGCTACCACTACTACTACTACTACTGCTATTACTGCTTCCACAACTACTACTACTACTACTACTACTACTACTACTACTACTACTACTACTACTACTACCTCTACTGATTTTACGATTATTATTACCATCGCTATTACTACTACTCTCACTACTGCTACTGTTGCTACTACTACTACTACTACTACTACTACTACTACTACTATTACTACTACTACTACTACTACTACTACTACTACTACTACTACTACTACTACTACGGCTGCGACTAGTACGACCTAAAACCATTAATGGTACTGCTGATGCACCGACCGCTTCATAAGGACGAGGACATGAGGAGTAAGATGGATAAGCAGTTCCATACGCAGAAACAGGATTAGGGCGGAAGGAGGAGGAGGAGAGAGAAGGAGGAGGGAGGACGAAGGGTACTGCATCGTATTGCAAGCCTCGTGCGAACGCGCACGGGAATTCTCTCTTCAGCAGGTAACCTAAGGGATTTTACTTTCAAGTGGAAATATTCCTTTAACAACAGCCAACATCGCGAACAATGCTTGGCAAATAATTCGGCCGCCGATTCCCACACCCATTGCGAGACCAGAGTTTCGGGGGGGGGAAGGGAGGGGGTGCAGCATGAAAGACCTCCCGCGGTTATCCCCACCTCCGGGAGGGTAAGTCGGCCAGTGTGGCCAAGGCCATGTCAGTGCGGATCGGGAGCGGTCAAGCGATGCTCCAGGACTGGGGCCACGTGATGCGGGCGCTGTTCCAGGACGGCCCCGACTGACCCCGCCGGGCCCGCGTGACCCAGGCCCAGACCCCCAACGGCATGATTCGTTCGCAACGTCGACCTGCGGAGGCTTCGAGCATTCTCTGGGACCGGTTCTTCACCCTGAATCGTTGTCTGACAGCCCCGAGGCCCCGCGACGGCCCCCGGAGCCGAAAAGTTCGACCATTTTCCCGTCGTTCTTTGTGTCATGACCCGGGGAGAGGTGGGAATGTATCCATACCCAACGCCCGTGGAACGGACGCCATGGGACCCAGCCAGCTGCCGATATGGGCTATATTCGGGCCCCCTGGGGTTGGAATATATCCATATCCACCGCGTGGCAAGGTCCCCGACGATCGGTACTGGGAAAACCATAAGGTACCGATACTGCTGCTCCCCAGACCTCTTCTGGGGTGCATTCTAATTAGAATTTCGAGGCGAATCCAACGGTAGCTACGAGGGCCTCCCAGGAGGCCTCCCAAAAAAGAAAACCAGGAAAAGGTACCGGTATGGGGCCAAAAATAGCGAAACACCTCCCGACGCATTTTGCCGTACAGTCGGGGCGCTGAAACAGTAACCTTTCGTGTTAGCGAGGGGCTGCGTGCTCCTTGAGCTGTTTCACGGTTTGCCGGCGGTCTTCTTCAGATTCTTCAGGCTGTCGATGGGAAACCGAAGTTTAATGTATGGGAAGAAGTCAAGTGAGGAAAAGCCACCCGGACCCGACATGTGGCGTTTACCAAACTGCCCTGGGCGTTTACTTAACAGCCCTGCCCTGCTTGAGTTCTCCCCTGGGCGCGTTTACCACACGGCTTCGCATGTCGGGGTGGTGATTCTCGGGGTGGACTCCCTGCTCTCTAAGAAGGCGCCTCGCTCCTCCCTTGGGGCTCCGCAGGGGCCAGCGCCCCAGCCATTAGCCCGAGGGGGCCTGCGGCCCTGCAGGGCACCCCCCCGGGTGCGTGCGGCCGGCGGCCCCCTCACGCGGAGGGCTCCGCGCCGGCGCCTGCCGCGCCCCAGGGCGCGCGCGGCCCGCCCCGCCGCGGGCTCGCGCGGCCCGCGGGGGCCAACACGCCGAGCCGGAGATTCGAGGATAGGATCCCAGAGATCACCACCCACCAAACCACCCCAACCCAACCCGAAGGCTCAGATTTACCCTCGATTTCCAGTGGGGGGGGGTTCGGGAAACATTGAAAAAACACGTGTGCACGTGTGGAACCCTTACCCCCCCCCCACCCGAAATTCGGGTCTTCGGGTTGGGTTGGGGTGGTCTGGTAGGTCGTCAAGAGATCCGACGCTCCAATTTTTCTTTGTTGCCGGCCGAAGGCGAGCGCGCCGACGGCGAGCCAAGGTCCGAGCGGGCCGCGCGAGGGCCTAAGTTACCTAGCAGTAGCAGGCCTGCCACCGCAACTCAGAACGGGACCAGGAGGAAGCCGAAGAGGGGGTAACGTTGCAAGATTGACGCTCCCCAAAAAATGAAGCGGCGGGATTTTGGCCGTCTTCGGCCTCTGGGGGCCCTCGCCGGGCCTCGGGAGCGCCAAAAGACGACTCAGGACGAAGAACCGGTCCTGACGAAGTGGCCCAGACCGCCAAGGCCCACGCATCGAAAAAATTGGAGCAGCCGGATGTCTGGGTTCCCAGACATGATCTCGTGGCTAAAACATCAGGACGTTTTTTTTTGCCGTTTTCGACCTCTAGAGGCCCTCGCCGGGCCCCGGGACCGTCAAATAACGGCTCGGGATGAAACGCCCGTCCCGGGGAAAGGGTCGGGGCTTCCGGGGACACCGAATTGAGAAAATCAGGACGTCGCATGTTTGTTTTTGTCCCCACATCCTGAGTGGGGTTCTTGTTTCTCTGGACACCCCGCGCAGTTCTGACCCCCCCCTCTCTCCCTCCTCATCGCTCACCCTCACTCACTCCTTCATCCACTCATCATCAGCATCATCATCATCAATCACACATTCGATTATACTCACATTCATTCAACCGCGCACTTACACACTCACTTCTCATCGTCATCATAATCGTCATCACTCACCCACTCATTCACTCACTCACTGTCGTCACTTTTGGGCTCCTCAGGCTTGAATATGGAGGAAGTATCCGGCGGGAGCCTCGTCTGTGAGTGAATTGCGGGGAAGTCTCCGGCGGGAGCCCTGTCCCTATGGGTCCCAAGGATCATGCTGGTAATCCGATGCGGGTCATCCGATTCCTGGAACTGTCGTCACTATTGGGGTCCTCAGGACTGAACATGGAGGACGTATCAGGCGGGAGCTTCGTGTGAGAGTGAACTGTGAGGAAGTCTCAGGCAGGAACCCCCTCCTTATGGGCTCCACGGATCATGTTGGCAATCCGATGCGGGTCATCAAATTCTTGTAATTGTCGTCACTTTTTGGGGCTCCTCAGGCTTGAATATGGAGGAAATGTCAGGCGGGAGCTGAGTGAATTGCGAGGAAGTCTCAGGCGGGAGCCCCGTCCCTATGGGCCCTGCGGATCACGTTGGTAATCCGATGCGGGTCATCCGATTCCTGAAACCGTCGTCACTTTGGGGCTCTTCAGGCTTCAATGCGGAGGAAATATCAGGCGGGAACTTCGTGCGTGAGTAAAGTGCGAGGAAGTCTCAGGTGGGAGCCCCCTCCCTATGGGCTCCGCGGATCATGTTGGCAATCCGATGCGGGTCCTCAAATTCTTGTAATTGTCGTCACTTTTGGGCTCCTCAGGCTTGAATATGGAGGAAGTATCAGGCGGGAGCCTCGTCTGTGAAAGAATCGCGAGGAAGTCTTATTTGGACGCCCGAAATGGGTACGGAAAGAATGGGGACAATGCCCAACCGCAGTTCTTGCTCATTTTGAAACAGGGCACGCTGTCGGTGCCGCCGCGGCTTGTGTGCATTTGAAACAGAAAACCGCCTGCCCAACAGCGGCCGCTGTTGGTTTGGGACAACATGTGTTGTTGGGCATTGTACCCATTCTTTCCGTACCCATTTCGGGCGTCCAAATCTTTGGCGGGAGCCCCGTCCCCATGGGTTCCGCGGATCACGTTGGCAATCCGATGCGGGTCATCAAGTTCTTGTATATGTCCCCATTTTTGGGTTCCTCAGGTCTAAATATGGAGAAAGTATCAGGCGGGAGCGTCGTCTGTGATTGAATTGTGAGGAAATCTCAGGCGGGAGCCCCGTCCGTATGGGTCCCGCATTTCATTTTGGTAATCCTTGCGGGTCATTCAATTCTTGTATCTGTCGTCACCCTTGGGCTTCTCAGGTTTGAATTTGGAGGAAGTATCAAGCGGGAGCCTCGTCTGTGAGTGAATTGTGAGGACGTCTCAAGCGGGAGCCCCCTCCCTATAGGGCTCGCTGATCACGTTGGTAATCCGAGCGGGTACAGCCCCTAGGCCTTCGGAGAAGGAGGGGGAGGAGGAGGAGGAGGAGGAGGAGGAGGAGGAGGAGGAGGACGTGGATCAACGGAAATCGTTTCGCTGTCCTCCGTCCCCCCCGCCATTCCCCACTTCCCACCGGATGTCCAGTCCGCCTGGGGGAAGTCGGTGGCTTCGGACAACCGCGGCGTTTTGGAACTTCGGCACCAGCACGACAACTTTCGGCTCGGCTACGGCATGGGCATCTATTGGGAGACGCTCGCGAGGTGGATCAACACGCGCGCTCGTCGCGACGCACAGCGCCTCGGCGTCCCCCTCGTTTCCCTGCAGGCCGTAGACGAGCGCGGCGCGATTCAAGGCGATCCAGACGCGAGCCGACGCCTCCTGAACGTCCCGAACATGCACAAAACGGGGGACACCCATTGCGTCTTACTGGCACACGTCGGCATGGAGTTTCGGTTCACGGCCACGCAGGAGGAGTGGACGAAGAAGTTGGGGCTCGCGCTGGAGCAATGGGCCACCAGTGTGTCCTTCGAGTTTCACGCGCACGACGAGCGGGACTACGAGGAGTGCGCGACGGGTCCGCTCCTTCGCCCCCGCTACCTACCGCCGGGAATCTGGCTGCAGGTCCACGGCTTCAACGAGTCCCCGATCTACAAAGAGGTCGCCGGTCTGCTGCTGCAGGGCGCCGAAGGCGCCGTCGAACGCGGCGAGGCCGACGCGCGGGCGAGGAGCTCACGTTCAGGCCCGGCGAGCAGGAGTTCACGTGGCAGGGCTCGGGGGCGCACGTTGCGCGCCGCTCGGGGTTCACCGTTCACCCTGGCGCGCGCGCCCTGCCTGACCTTCACGCTGTCGCAGGGCCAGACGCTGCGCAAGGGCGTCGCCGTCGACTGCGCGAGGGGCGAGGACGCTGGTCGCGCGGGCATGTCGGACGAGCAGTGGCGGCTGCGGCTCTACGTCATGCTCTCCCGCGCCGCGCGCGTGCGGAACACGTTGATCGTGCGGCCGCCCTCGCGCGAGTTCCTGGGGCGCGGGCCGCCGGCGCCCTTGCGGGAGGCGTTCAAGAAGTTCGAGGAGAAAGCGAAAACCTCTAGGTATGAGGCCGAACAGCCCGCCGCGGAACTTGGCTTCGCGCTGCCTCCCGCCTGAGCGCTGCGGCGCGCAGCTAGAGGCCCGCGGGGTTGCCCCAACGGTCTGGCCCGCGGGGTTGCCCCGACGGCCTGCCCCCGCGCCCCAGCGGCCCGCGGGGCTGTCCCAGAGGCATGGCCCGCGGAACTGCCCCGAAGGTTTCGCGAACCAGCCGTCGGCGAACGCGCGCGTGCGCTGGCTGAGGCGGCGACTGCGCCGAGGAAAATCGCGCTGCTTGCCCCGGCCAGGTGGGCAGGGGGGGGCACGTGGAGAAGAAACAGGGGGAGGATGAGGACGGGGAAGGGGTTGGGAGTGGGCGATTAAGGAGGCGGATAAATGGAGGAGGAGGAGGAGGAGGAGGAGGAGGAGGAGGAGGAGGAGGAGGAGGAGGAGGAGGTGGAGGAGGAGGAGGAGGAGGAGGAGGAGGAGAGGGCACAGCAGAGAGCGAGAGGAGGGTGTCTGCCGGGGCGAAGAGGAAAGGGCTCAGGGCAAGCTAAACAGATTGTCATGCGGGGTCCTTCCGT